TAGCTCGCTCACACCGAGGACCTATCCACATCATCGTTTTACCCAGAATGCTTTGTGTGTAAATGAAATGGCTCTGTCCGTCTTAAAATATATTTTAAAAAATTCAAGTCAAATTAAGGACAGGCACATCATAAAGTTTTCTGATGGCTCTGTAATTGTGCCTTTGCTTGATGACGGATTGGGATTATGGCTCTGTGGTGAAGGATTTTATTGGCTGGTGTGATTGCTCATTTCTGGACATTATTGTCTCTAAAACCAAAGATGTTAGTGGATTAAAAAAGCCTCCTCCTTGCTGTCCAGTTTTTATCTATGGACAGGCTATTCAGGTTGTACACAATTACAAATATCTTTGTACAATTATCGACAAATGCTTGACCTTTGAGGCTAATATAAATGCAGTCTGTGCTAAGGCCCACCTGCGCTTGTATATTAAGAAAAATTAAGAAGTTTTAATGTTGACAGTGTTTTTATGAAAATGTTTTAGGTTTAAGAAATTATTTAGTTAGTTTTGCTCACCCTGAAAAATAAGCACAGACTAGACAGCATTGTGAGGATGTGTAACAAAACGATAGGAATAAGTCTGATAGAGCTGCCACAGTTCTACAGAACCAGTCACAAGGAAGGCTAAAGCTATGCTTGCTGACCCAGACCACCCTCTTCATCACCATAACAGGTTGTTACCTTCTGCTCGTAGATATACGGCAATCAAATGTAACACAAAAAGGTAGAAATGTTGTTTATCCCCTGAGTGTTAGCTTCATTAATCATTTGAAATAAGCCCAAATAAACTGTGATGGTATATTATTGTACTGTGTACTATATGGATGTTGTGGTGTACTTTTATTTTTATTTTATTTTTTATTGTATTTATCTGCAATTGTTCTTACTGCAAAGCAACTTGCCCATTGGGGACAATAAAGTTTATCTAATCAAATCTAAAACTTCCCGACTCGACATTATGACATTAGGGGACATTGCAGTTGATATTGCTGCTCACCTTTCTCTCATTCATACATGGATTCTGACTCAGTTCCAGAGCGYACCTCCACCTCTCTTGTCTCACCTGTTCTCTGCTCACTACAGATATCGTCAGCAAACGTCTTCCCTTGCAGATAACCCAGAATATGTTCTAAGTTAATATTTACACTTAGGTCCATATATATTTGGACAGAGACAACATTTTTCTAATWTTGGTTCCACACATTGCCACACTGAATTTTAAATAAAACAATTCAGATGCATTTGAAGTTCAGACTTTCAGCTTTAATTCAGTGGGTTGAACAAAATGATTGCATAAAAATGTGAGGAACTAAAGCATCTTTTAAACACAATCCCTT